CCTGAATCTCATCTAATGTCACGTACTACATTAATGTTTCTCAAACCAACCTATGGACTTCAGGGGTCTCCAAGTACTTTGTCACAATTTTTAAAATAGAGGTTTCAGTAATGATGATAATGTAAAAGGTAACTGATATAAGTATATTCTGCATCTAGATGATGCCTGCTAAACTAAGAACTACCAGCGGATTCAGAATTGTTGTCTGCATTTGTACTCAAAATGCTCTAATTGTCTTCTGCTAATGGGGGAAACACACTAGAGGTACATGGTGCAGTCCAGGATGTTATGACTGTTTAAATGAAGACTTTATTGTATCTATCAAAATACGGAAGAACAATGTGAAAACTAAGTCAGCACATAACACAGGACCATATAAACATGTCCAAAGGAAAATTCTTGATTTTTCCAGAGTCTTCCTTTTGAGTCTTCCCCAGAATCCACAGCATTGCTCAGGCCAAAGACTTAGCAAGGATATTTCTATCCTCTCTTTTTTCACTTTGCACAACCTATATACTCATGTCTTGGCACCTTCTCTGGTTCTCTATTGCTACAATCCTTGTTCAGTCCATCATTTCTAACCTGGGCTACTGCAAGAGAGCCAACCTCACTGATTACTTTTCCTGCTTCCATGTTTGTCCCCACAATTCATTATAACCCTCAAAGTGACCCTCCAAGACATAGTATCATGATGGGTTTCCACTGAACGTAAAATCAATCACTTTTTTGGAACTCCCAAGGCTGCCATGGTTTAATTTGTGTTACCTAAAAAGATAAGTTCACCTGGAAGCTCTGAATGTGACCATCTTTGTAATAAATATCTTTGCAAATGTGATTAAGGCAAATCTCAAGATGAGATTATCCTGGATTGGGGTGAGCCCTACGTCCAATGTCAGGCATTCTTATAAGAAGAGAGGAAGATAGAGACAAAGGGAAGAAGGTGACATGAAGAGGTGAAGATTGAAGTTATGCTACCACAAGCCAAGGAAGCCACCAGAAGCTGGAAGAGGAAGGACCACCTTTGGAGGGAGCAGAGACTGTAAATAGATTGAGTGCAGACATCTGTCCTCCAGAACTGAGAGGATACATTTCTGTTGTTTTAAGCCACAGAGTTTGTGGTAACTTGTTATGGGAGCTGTAGGAAACTAATACATAAGACCTACTGGTCTGGCCTCCGCCTGTTTTGGTGACATTCATTACCACTCTCTTGTCACTCAGCCTCCAGACACACCTTCCTCTGCCCTGACCTTAAACATCGTATTTTTATCCAGGCTGTTAGACTCCCTATTCTGTCTGCACCCTTTTCCTTCAAATCTTTCCTTGGTTAGTTCTTTGTTCTCCACCTTTTGGTCACAGCACAAATGTTAATTTCTCTGAATGTAAGATGTCCTTTAACCATTAGGTAGCCTTCCCACCTACTTAAAATTGCAATCCACCTTCCCTTGTTTTTATTTTCTCATAGCACTTAACATCAGACATATTATGCGTTGTGCTTATTTGTTTATTTTGTATCACCCTCTTTCAAAATGTAAGTTCTAGAAAAGAAGGAGTTGTGACCATAGTTCATTGCTATGTATTTAGCATCTAGAAGATTAGTAAATAAATTAGATGGACTCAATCTGTTACTAAAATTGATATTATATGAGTTGAGTAAATACAGAAGTAATGGTCATACAATCTGGCATAAGTGAAAGAAAATTTATTACCTTTAAAGTGTGAAAAAGTGTTTGTTCTAGAAAACATGGGTATTTCCCAGAACAATGTAACTATGGTAATTTGTTAAAGCCTCAAGTGCTATACATTTATCTAGATACTGCTGCACAGTTACTGATGGTCTGGCATCTAGTCAGAAGTTGGTGCTTTCATTTAAAAATTATTGCCACTATTTGTATTTTCTTACCTTGTTGACTCCACTAGTTTTTTGTTGGTGACAAGGTATACAATTTTTTATAAACTCAGAGTGATCCATGAGCATGTTTTCATTGATCGTTCCAATTATGTTACATGACTTCCCTATTACTTAATGGTAAGAAAAGAGAGTGGTCATGAGACAGCAGAATGTCTAAGAGTAGCTGCTGTTATTTATAACACTGCTTCTCAAAAGATCTGTAGTGCAGAGCTAGTTTTCTTCTTTTTGTATTTTTGAATTTTTTCATACACTAAAGACTGATAATTTTTTTTTTTTTTTTTTTTGAGACCAAGTCTCACTCTGTCACCCAGGCTGGATTGCAGTGGCGTGATCTTGGCTCACTGCAACCTCTGCCTCCTGGGTTCAAGCGATTCTTCTGCCTCAGCCTCCTGAGTAGCTGGGATTACAGGCATGCACCACCATGCTTGGCTAATTTTTGTATTTTTAACAGAGACGGGGTTTCACCATGTTGGCCAGGCTGGTCGTGAACTCCTGACCTCGTGATCTACCCGCCTTGGCCTCCCAAAGTGCTGAGATTATAGGAATTAGCCACTGTGCCCAGCTGGACCAATACTTTTGGAAAGCATATACATTACTTGCAGTTCATAGAAAGATACCAGCTCATGGATCACACTTTGAGTAGCACTTATTTGTAGTATTGGTTTTTATAACACAAGCAGAAATGTGCGAGATGAATTTCAAGGGAATACTATACTTTTATTATGATTTTTGAAGATTTAATGCCTCCTTAGGCTGAAAACCTAGTGATCTTTCTATTTATAAAACTAGAATGGCATGCTAGTTGCAGTTTTTGAATAGTTGGACACAATTTTTCTTCCATCTCCAAGGGGTGTGATTGCCCCTTGAGATGGACTTTGCAGACCACTATAGTTCTTCCATCATCTGTGATGCACATGATATCTTTCACACAACCTGCCATCTGTGGAACAAACATTGCCTACTTTTTAAATTTTCAACTTTACCACTTGACAAATCTGAAGGTTGATAAAACCAAAAGTGCTGGTATTGGTTATACTGACAATTGACCAGAGCTTTAGGTTAGAAATGTTATAATCTGACTAAATCAATATATAGCATTTCTTCTGTAAGCAGTTTTGTAAGTTTGTGTGTACATGATAATTCTCTTTGGCATGCCCCATGTTAAGACCATTTTGTAGTGTCATCTTCATCTCAAAACTGTTTCACAGTCTCATTCTTTTCTAATAGGTAGTAGCCATTGTTTTAAATGCCAGCATGCCACTATTTGACACTATCTACCCACCAACCCACCTTTAATGAGACAATATGCAGATGACTACAGAATTTTGGACTGACCATTATATTTGCAAAAACAGACATATAGACTGACTTTTTCTGTCCTAATATTCATTATTACTTAATCTTTGGATAGTCCTTATTCACTTTGATAGCACAGAGGGCAACATATTGAACACTGTAGGGTACAAAATTGCTTCTAGCGGTAGGCAAGTTACGAGTGTGGTAGGTTTAGATACTTAAATGACTAATCAAGAAAGGTCTTTGATAGATAAGCACTGAAATAAAATGATTTCAATAGGCTTTATTATCTGCTTTCTTATACTGCAATAAAACAATACTCAGCTTTGATTTTTCATATGCCATATTTGATATTACAGGCTATATATATACATATATTTCTATGTATATCTACAGAAAACCACACATTGATCCTAAAATTCTGCTTAATACTTTAGAAATATCAATTTATAATGTGTATTCACACATTTTAGGCACATTATTAGCCTTTGCATTATTAGCTTTGTGTGTTAGTCCACTCACATGCTGCTTTAAAGAAACACCTGAGAACTGGGTATTTGGTATAAGGAAAAAAGGTTTAATTGGCCTACGGTTCTGCAGGCTGTGCAGGCTTCTGCTTCTGGGGAGGCATCACCAAAACTTACAATCATGGTAGAAGGAGAAGGGGAAGTGAGCACATCTGACATGATGGAAGCAGGAGGAAGCGGGCAGGGAGTTGCTACACACTTTTAAACAAGCAGATCTTTTGAGAACTCTGTCATAAGACAGCACTGGGGGATGGTGCTAAACCATACGACAGCATCCCCATGATCCAATCATCTCCTACCAGGCCCCTCCTCTAACACTGGGGATTACAATTTGATGTGAGATTTGGGTGGGGACACAAATCCAATTTACATCACCTTGCATTTTTGCATTTCTTAAGTCTAACTTTCATTATCCAACATTTAGAGATAGTTCAGTGTCTGATGAAAACAGAATGCCAATTTCATCAAAGATCTGCTGCTTTTTGTATTAACATGTTAGTCCACATAATCTGAAAACAGTATACCTCATATGTGCATAGTGAAGTGATTATTGCACACATTTATTTTCCCATGCAGAGTTGTTCTACATACAATACATCCAATTCAGCAAGGACACCATCACATAGAATAAACAATACTGGAAAGTAAGGACAGGCCATGGGCATTGAAGCTATAGCAGCTAGAAATCAAAGTAGCACATTTGACTCATATCAAGGCCAACCCATTTTCTATGGCTCATGTTATCCTTCACCCATAATTGTTTTATTGTAGATACATTAAGAGGAGATCTTGAAGTGAGAGGTGACCTCCACCTTTAAACTACTTCCGGGAAAACAATAAAGTACCTCAATACTTTTCCCACTTCACGAAAAGCAATGGACAGCTATAGATGATGTTGGCATCCTATGAGTCTAGCAAGCAGCTGTGGAGTTTAGAGACAGAAGGAGACATCCCCAGGTGAACATGGATTGGTGCACTGTAAGGCACCACGTTAAAGATTGTATTCACTGTTAAAAATATTCTTTCATATACGAGCCAAAAAAGCTGTTATGAGGTAAGTGAGTTGTAGCCACAGTAAATAAGCTTGAGCAAAACTGCATTAGACAAATCTGAAAACATTTCTAGGGATGCAAGGGCACCTGTATGACTTTTGCTGATGTCTCAGACTGGAGATAGCTGAGGGAAAAAAGCTGTTAAAGATGTTAAACCACTTTAGAATGTCTCTGCCCTCTGATTACATACCAGTATAGACTACTGCCTCAGAGACGCTATTTTCCTAATACTTTCCTAAGTGCTTCCTTCACATCCTTGTTCCTTAGGCTATAAATGAAAGGATTCATCATTGATGCTATGACTGAGTAGAACACTGAGACCACCTTATCCCCTTTATTCATTTGCTTCAAATTAGATTGCATGTAGGTAAATATTGTTGACCCATAGAAGAAGAAAACAACAATAAAGTGAGATCCACAGGTAAAGAAAACTTTTAACCTCCCCTCTTCTGACTGTATTTGAATCACAGTGGAGATAATATTCCAGTAGGAGAAAAGGATGAGGGAGACAGGACCTAGGAGAATTACAACACCCATTGCAAATATGGTCATTTCTGTGCTGTAGGTATCTGCTGAAGCCAGCTTTAAGAGGGCAGGAGGCTCACAAAAATAAGGATTAATTATATTCTGTCCCTGATATGGGAGACATAAAATGAATGTGGTATCTACTAAAGACACAAATGCTCCACTGGCCCAGCACCCCATGACCAGCTGAACACAAATTCTCTGGGTCATGAGAGTGGAATAGTGCAGTGGCTTGCAGACAGCCACATAGCGGTCATAGGACATCACTGCTAGAAGTGAACTCTCTGTACACCCTGCTATTAGAAAGAAAAGCATTTGAATTGAGCACCTAGTAAAAGACATGGTCTTTCTCATGTTGAGCAAATGGGATAGCATCTGGGGAACAATGGTTGTAGAGAAACAGAGATCAGTAAATGACAGATTTTTAAGGAAGAAGTACATTGGTGTGTGAAGTCGAGAGTCAATGTGAATTAGGAGTATGATGAGCAGATTCCCAAACACAGTCAACAAGTAGATGATGAGAAAAATCACAAACAGCAGGATCTGGGTTCGGTGATCAGAAGAAAAGCCCAGCAAGATGAATTCAGTCAGATAGGTTTGGTTTTCTTTGCCCATTATTTATTCCTGTCTATAAGTTAGCATAATTAGTACAATCAAACATTGACTATGATGGAGTACCAAATACAGAAAGTGAAGGTCTTATTGGAAGAACAAATGTTCTGATTTAGAAAATTTTTGTAAACATTGGACACACTTGATTTTATAATTTTTCTATCCTTATATTTCTACTAAAGTCGTGTGGCTGGTAGGTATGGAAAATTCAGGAATATGCCTTCTTGTTACTCCTTGCTGGCAGAACATTATCATCCATAGAGTCATTGTTCAACAATTGTGTGGCTAATGTCAAAAAATGTCTTCTTAGAAAATTATATGTTATTTGAACTAAAGAAAAAGGATGCAAATATTTTATAATGACTTGAAAAAATATAGCAATTTCTCCCTTTAATAGAAATCTCAGGTTGTCTTTTATTTTCTAGTTTACTTATAATACAGTAGATTTTTTCTTTAATTCCATCAAATAGGAGAGAACAATAATCAACTTTTCTATTGTTTCCTGTGAATTCTCTATTATCCTTCTAAGCAAGAAAAAGAATTTTAAGAAGTTATTTTTGATCATGTTATTGACCCTTAGTCCTGATGCTTTCCTAAATTCTTTATTGGAAAGAAAAACTATCCTTCATGATGATGCTAGTTTACAAGAGCAAGGTATGAAGAGACTTTACTGTCACAGATCTAAGACAGTGGACAAGTGGCCACATCTAGGCAGCACCACACACTGTGGTAGGAAGGGCCCTTTGTGAAGACCAAATGCAGCTGCAACTACTGCATAGTTGCAATATCTTATCTGGCATAACAGTGTTTGATCTCATTTATGCTGAGGTTTGATGCAGAATATTCAACCAGTTGAATGGGTGCATTGATAGGAAACCAGGCACTAGTCCAGTGCTCTGAAGCCAGGCAAGAAACACTATTCCAAGTCTATACTTTGCTGTATGCCAGCAATAAACAAGGAATACAGTAGATTTTTCTACTGTAGCATAATAGAGCACAATTAGAGCAATCAGGCAAATGTTGACTATGATGGAGCACCAAATACAGAAAGTGAAGATCTTGTTGGAAGAACAGATGTTTGATTTAAAAATCTCTTGTAAATGTTGAACACATTTGATTTTATAATTTTTCCATCTCTATGTTGGATAGAAATATTGAATCTAAGCTAATGAAAGGTGAATCCAAAATAATGGGTAAATAAATCAGAGTTAGGAAAGGTAGCAGGGTCATGGGAAAATGGCTGGGACTCACAGCTGGAATCTGATATCCCTGGAAAGGATTGAGCTACCTGTTAGAATGAACAAGGTATCAAAGTAGAAATTCAGCCCTCCTGGCAGGACCTTCTTGAAACAGAAAAATCAAACATGACAAACATATCAGAGTTTGTTTTCACACAGAAGTTTCTGTGTCTACTTGGCAGTATAGGAGAAATGTGAAATGTGGCTGGAGCACTGGCACATGAGCTGTCAATTATGACTTAGCTTCAAGACTACTGAGTGACAGTGAAGTTTCTAATCATGAAGATTCGATCTGAATTGGATCCATCCTGAACCTACAGGAGGGTCCAACCTGCAGGAGAGTCTATTGGCTTTGAGGGACTAGGAAGGCAGAGGCAGGGAACACTTTGAGAGACTGGTAGAATTAAATACGAAAGATTTTCCCTTTAGATTCACTCTAAGGACATGACACAAGAGAATCAGTGATAAATTCTGACATCAAAAGCCAACATAACCTCTTGCATAAGTCTGTTTTTGAAACTGATTTATAACACATTCATGGTTAATGAGATGGATTTAGTGAGTTAACAGCAGCATTTATTAAAATTTGAAGAAAAACTGTTTCTTACAATAGGTGCATGGTTATGAGAAAGTATTAATTTCAATTTTTTTTGTGTGTGTGTGCACTGAGTTACAATGTAAACTGTGTTCCTGATTAAGGGTTATTGTCAACAACTTTAAAAAGAATACTGCTGTAAGTCAAATGTTATTAAGGACATATAAAGTAATTCATTACTGACCCTATTTCCAACAATTTTTGATGAGTACATCTTTTTTACTGCTTCATTATGGTGAATTTTTATGCAATAAAATGTGCATATTTAATGTGTAGAAATGGATATGTTTTGATATATGTATAAAACGATATACTTTTAAAAGATACTTATTAAGTTACCCATGATTATTTATGAAACTGTCTCCCTGACATAACTCTAAGTTTCAAAGGGTAGTAACTCTGCCTCACTCTATATGTCTGAATCCCCAGGTATGTAGTACGTTTTCAAGAAATGTTCCATGAGTGACTGAATTAGTGAATGAATAACTGAATGCATCCAGGAATGAATGGACTCCTCCTTGCACAAGGCACTGTCACAAACATGTACTCAAATGTTACTAGGCACTATTCATCCTACCTAGAGCACAGTATGAAATTTGGAAGACACAGTTGCTGCTGGTCCACCTAGGTGATCTCTTTGGAATGGGGACATCTTGTACATAATAAGGAGGAACATGAGGTATGTACATGAGAGAGCATGATTGGTAGTTGCTCTTATTCTAGTGGAAATAGGAATAGGCCCTCAATCTGCAACCCTGTTTTTGTTCTCATTCTTACCCCTCGTGTTTATCAATACCTCTGAAGACTACTGTACTGGTGCTTATAGCACACATACACCAAACATAGTACTCACCAAGCTTTGGTTTCCCCCTATTTCTGAGACAATGAGTGGCCAATTTCAGGGAGCTCTGTCTTGCATATTAGGCAGTGTCTTGTGAGTCCAGAGGTTTCACCAAGAAGAGATCATGAGAAAAGCAAAAGAGGAAGAGAACACCTGTGGTGAAATGACTGAATGATTACAGGACAAGGAAATCCTAGTAGTTGAAAAGGTGTAGATAGTTTGAGCTACAATAATACTTTTCGTTTTTGGGGACTCTCAGCACCTAAACTGTCCCCCCTCAAAAACAGCCCAGTAGTAACATTTCTAAGGCTGAAAATTCTAGAGAAGGGAAAAAGAAAAATCTCTTCTCTCAAATAGACTGTGGGTTATAAAATAAAGATTTGGGTTTCTCCTAGGACAGACAAGATTTCTAGTTTGGGAGGTTCTTGTTCCCTTCGAACCTTTCTTTCTTGGTCACTTTAGCACCTTCCTTTTTACCTGGAGTCTTAGGATAAGTTTTTTTTCTCACACCAAGTACAATAGACATCCAGAGAGCTAAGCTGTATATCTGGAAGTAGGTGTTGAATCCTGGTGATTCTCAATCATCTCTCCTGACAGCTGAGCAAAACCGGGCTTTGCAGCAAGCTTCATTTCAAACTCTTGCTGTCTTCTTGGATGGGGTAAACAATTATTTTTCAAGCATCAACACTGATCTGAATAATTTTCTATCAGGAGTTCCTAAAAGATTGAGGTCCTGAGAGGTGATGCAAATAAGATTTTCCCTAGGGAAGTCCTTGGAAAAAGCTCACTTTATACAATGAGGTACTCTTCACATAATGAGATACCTTGGGACTTTTTAAAAATTTTTTTATTTGTAGATTGAATTCTGTGAATCTTATCTAATTCACGTTCCTTAATTAAACAAAGAAAAAACTGTATATACTCTGAGTCTCAGAAAGACTCAAGGAGCCACCTCTACCTGTTTCGTCTTTCTGCTTGGCAGCAGAGTCAAGACTATGAAGTACATGCAGACAGGCACCCTTGCATTCTTTACTCATGTTTTTTTTTTTTTTTTTTGTATTTTTACTGATATATCATTATTGTACATATTTTGGGGATACATGTGATATTTTGATACATGTATAAAACGTGTGACGATCAAATCAATGTAATTGAGATATCCATCACCTCATTAATCTTTTCTTTGTGTTGAGAGCATTACAATTCTTCCCTTCTAGCTATTTTAAAATATGCAGTTAAATTATTCTTAACTATAATTTCCCTACCTTACTATTGAACACTAGAACTCATTTTTTTTTATCTAACTGTATTTTTTTACCCATTAACTAACTTCTCTTGATTCCCTCCTCCCCTCTTCCTTTCCCAGCCTCTTGTAACCACATTTCTATTGTCTACTTCCATGAGATTCACTTTTGTAGCTCCCACATATGAGTGAGAACGTGTGAAATTTGCCTTCCTATGCCTGGCTTATTTCACTTAAATAATGACCTCTAGTTCCACCCATATTGCTGCAAATGACAGGATTTAATTCTTTTTCATGATTGAATAAGATTCTATTGTGCATCTATATCACATTTTCTCTATTCATTCTGCCATTGATGGATACTTAAGTTGCTTACAAACCTTGGCTATTGTGAGAAATGCTTCAGTAATCAGAGTGCAGGTATCTCTTTGATCTATCAATTTCCTTTCTTGTGGATGTATTAAGCAGTGGGATTGTTGAATTACATGGTAGTTCTATTTTTACTTTATTCAGAACCTCCATACTGTTCTATAATGGTTGTACTAATTTACAGTTTGACCAACAGTGTAATAACATTTCTTTCTCAGCTCATCTTTGCCAGCATTTCTTGGGTTTCTTTTGTGGTTGTTGAGGTGAGATGATATCTCATTGCAGTTTTGATTTGCCTTTCTCTGATGATTGGTAATGCTAAGAATTTTTTTATATGCCTGTTTGCCATTTGCATGCCTTATTTTAAGAAATGTCTATTTAGATATTTTGCCAATTTTTAAATCGGATTATTTGTGTTTTTTTTTTTAACTATTGAATTGTTTTAGTTTTTTTATATAGATATTCTGGCTATTAATCTCTTGTTGGATGGATAATTTGTAAATATTTTTCCCCATTCTTTCTTGGCTCCTGTCTTCACTCCATTGATTATTTCCATTGCTGTGCAAAAGCTTTCTAGATTAATAATGTAATACTATATGTTTATTTTTTAAATTTTTGTTTGTAATATTATGGATACATAATGGTTGTATAGATTTATGATATACATGTGATGTTTTGATATATGCATGGAATGTGTAATAAATCAGGGTAATTTGG